CTTCGAGTTTTTTGAAAACTCTTCGGACAAATCAGAATATTCATTGAACCAATAACAACTTCATCGTCACTTGGTTCGATGTTCGTCTTTGATCGCTCGCACACTTTCTGCATATTGTGGCACGACAGAATTCGAAAAATTGCCAGCATGTTCTCAACAGTTGGATTATTACAAGATCCACCAGAGTTATCGACGCTGTGCAGTATCTCTAAAACCAAGCATCGTGTAAAAGCTTGAAAACGTTCAACTTGCACGGTTAAGTATTACCTCCTGCATATCGTTGTTAGATTCTTCGTTTGTACGCAAAGCAGCCCTTCGGCGAGTTCGGTTAAAAGTCTCTTTATGCTATCCAGGGTCACAACTAGGTGGTTAATGGTGCGGATGGTGGTTAATCAGGAAAAATGCTGGCCAGTAGTAAATTTGCACCTGAACCTGATTGTTTAATATGGAGGAAAATCGATTGCATACTACACACCTTCGCTGCTGTCAGTCAACCGTATGGATTTTGCAACCATAGTTGCGCCCGAAAATTGAAAATTAAAAGGATGAAAAATTTTGAAATCTGTTAAAATGGTGCCACACAAGCCAAATCACGGTGCCACCCTGGGCGGTGCACACCGTCCATGAAGTCTTTGAAATTCGTTTTATAACGTCTGGCTCTGATGGCTTTGTGAATTCTTCATGTAAAAAAACAGTACAAAAAATTTACCAGGAATATAGAGCAGCGTGAGTGTAATCACTTATACGCATTTCGAGATACGTTTAACTCGACTTTTAACTAGCAACATGTGCAGTTACTATAAATGTAGCGCTTATAAAAATCCTGTTCAGCTATGACGTGGAAATCCATACGGATGACTTGAACAGTACAGGAAGGCCATATTATGCAAGCGATTTCCCTTGCAGGCATCGGTGTACGGTATGGATGACGTAATTTTTGCCTCGTGATTTTTGGTCACGTGTTTTTTAAAAAAATTTGTTGATGCCCTCTTTCTCTCAGTGCATTCAAGTATATAAACATCAAAATGCATGCATTTTGTGTTTATAAATATTGACACTGGTATACAGTGTGGTTTAGTGTGCATGCACATGGTAAAAAAGGTAGAAGAGAATGACTACAAGTTGAAGAACCGCTAGAGTACCTGTTGCGTGTTTACTGCAGAATGACGAACATGAGATGTCAGTGACGAAACAAGACTTGGTGCACAAAATCACGATCTCTTTTTAAACAAGTTTATTACAATAGAGTTTCTGAACTGTGGCGTTCTTTACAACGTCAATTCCATTAATTCAACCAGACATCAGAAGATCGTTTTAAAAGATAAGAATCATAAGATCTACCGATCGGAAAAACGCAATCGATTTGGGAAAAACGTCATGAGGCACTGCGTCAAACACCAGAGCAGGTACACCTTCTGGCAGGGAGCAGGTGTATATTAACAATTTTCGTTTTCCCCGACCGCTGCGCGAGCTGCCCGTTACGCGTGATGATCTGTAAATTGGTTTTAATGCTGTCACTGTATATACCCATTATGATACTGTATTCTCGCAAAATTAAAACGATCTTAGATCCATTCCGCGAAGCGGCGTCATTGATGCCAAAAGATCCCCAGAGGCGCCGCCCACTTCGCTGCGTTGAATCGGGGTATAAAAACCATTTCTTTATTTCGCGAAAACACAATAAGATCGGTGCCGCCGAATGACGTCAGGATTAAGTTCGCACGAAAACCTTGTCGCATCTGCCACTAACCAATAATTGTTGTTGATTAGGGCGCAAGGCTATTTTCCGAGCGGTTAACCGGCACGACGAAGGACAGCCTGGTTGGAAGCCACCGGACAAGAGACGGTGAATGTCATGCTGGACGGAACCCGGACGTTGCATGCTGCGTATTGCTGAAAAGTGCAAATACATAATTAACTAGTCCGATGGCTAATGCTTAACTAACAACTGTGCAAGTTCGCTGCAAACATTTTGTTCTCCGATGCAAGCTTGCAAGGTGCGAGTAACGGCTGATACACACTCCCGGCATAGACTTCCGAGAATTACACGCTACTCTAGGTACAATATTACGAGAAGCAGAGCACTCTAGATACTCGAGATACAGTATTTTCGTATTAAAGCTTAATAAAGGCACTACAGTCTGTATATGTGTCGGTGGTATCGCGATGTGTGACCTTTATCCGGTGAGCCGCGGCGGCAACCGGTTTGCTATAAACTGAATTGCGTTAAATTACCGCTGCCATCTTAGCCCATCTACAACTTAGAATGCTATTTTTATCTTAGGTACTTATACTGACAGCTTTCAGGTAGTCGATTAGATAATACCGTGGTTATTGTAGGATTGGAAAAACTGCAAAATAATGCCGTTCCAAATTCTCACACCGACCCATACCGAGATAGCAGATTTTATCTTGAAATAACATGACATTATCATGAGAACCATCTGTGTACTATCGACTCAAAAATTTATATATAACTGTAGCATAATATCGTAATTATAACCTAATATTATTCGATTTTTATTGTAGTGTTATACCGTTTTTAAATTATTACAAAATAATAAAGCGTGGTTTCAGTTTGGTATCAGTGCAGAAGCCATAGACGCGTGTCTTGTTATATCAAGATGGCACACAAATCAGATAGCGCTGATCGAGAGTCTTGCAGCTGATGTGAAATGTTGTTTAAGCAGCTGTGCTTAGGTTAGGATGCGGTTCTTGGCCCATAAGTTTAACTACACCGAATCGAGCTGTAAATAATTTAAATTTTGTTCAAATTTTAAACATCGTTAATCCGCAGCAGCAGAAAATGCTCTTTTGCTGCGTTATTGTGCTTCTGTTGGCATCGCATGGGTTAGCGCAGACATGCGACCAAATGCGCGAGCAATGCGATGCCCTGAGCGAGTGGACATGGACGACGCAAGGTCAAAATGAATTTAACAGCTTACCCTGGCCAGGAACCGACGCAGATTACGCTCCATATCGAGCGCTGGCCGACCGATACTGCCGGTAAGCTGTTTAACCGAAATTCCATCACAATGTCGAACTAAAAAAAATAGGAGATTCTGCAAAAATTATTTTTAAACAAGCGCTTCTCTCTTTGAACTTAGTGCGGCAATCCATGCGTATTAGGATGATGTACTGTATTACCGGCGATATACCGCTGCACACTGTTGTGTTGTTGTATTAACAAATTTTATAACCACGCGAACCCAGGGGGCGAAATTCAAATCGCGATTTTTTGGTGCAATATTGAAAAAAGCGTCTTTTTCTGCGCATTATTGGTGGCCAACCAGTTCATATCCTGTATATGTAAAGAAATAATATTCGCATTTCGTAGTATGCTAAATGAAACCGCGCACTGCAAGAAGGATTTACTAGTCCGTTGCCCCGATGATCCAGATCTTCTGGCGCGCTCCCTGAGCTTCAGTCCGTACTCGATCGAGTGGTCACTGTCCATGTTCGCACTTTGCCAGACCGGCATTAATCCACTGCGTATCATCCGTGCCGAACAACACTGTAAACGACGGACCCGAGATGTGGAGCTCAAGTTTCACTATGATTTTGAGCAGTGGGCTTCCCAGCGCAATGTCACTAATGTCAAGGCCGCAGTCTGTCAGTAAGTATAAGTATTACGCGAAAGTGCTGGCTTTTCCTTGTCAGCTGGAACCGAATGGACTATCCAGCACAGACGGGAAAAGACCTGACGGAATGACGCTGATACCAGTTCGCCAAGGCAGACCGCTTGTTTGGGATGTAACAAGCTGGTGTACTGTTGCGGATTCCCACGTCACCGCAAGCTCGATGAAATCCGGAAGTGTGTCCCAACTGGCGGAAAATTCCAAGCGCCGCACATTTTCTTTTGGAATACGGTTACCTCTTTTATCCCCTGGTTATTGAGACTCTGGGAGTTTTGGCCCCTGCCTTCAGTGAAATGCTGCATTTCATGGGCCGCAAGATTCGTGACATAACGGGCGAAGCGCGTTCTACTGCTTTTCTCAAGCAGCGTTTTAGTTTAGCTGTTGTCAAAGGAAATGCTACGGCTGTTTTGAGTACACTGCCTTTTAATCCGAGAGAGAATAAGGATTTTGGTTGTTTTTTTAATGTTTAATTTTTTAACTTATCAAGTAGTGTACCAGCGCTTGCATTTATTGCTATTTGGGTGGCTATTGCCAATAAATCAACATTACGTATTATTATTCTCTGTAAACAGTGAAAGCCGGAGCATTTCTCACCGCAGTGTAATGAAGGTTTTGGACAAGAATTCGGTAACAACGATTGTAGATCTTGAGTGCTTAGTCATTTTGTTGCAGACGCCTGGACGATTACGTGAAGCGACTGCAGGGACCATTGAATACGACCCTATCTCTTGCATGCGGATCGGACGCGGTGGAAGCTATGTGCGACGGTTATAGGGCACGTCACACTGCTTTCTGCTCCATTTAAAAAATCCTGCTAATGTCGTGTGGACTCTCATTCGCAAACATGTCATCATAGAAAAGTCTTTACAGTGCTTAGCGCTGTGGAATCTTGTTGAGAATTAGAATTTTTTACGGTCATATTATTGAGTTGAAAAAATAAATTGGGAGAAATTTATTATATAAATGGGTCTTAAACCATTAAATCTGGTTTCGAAACAAATTACTTTGAATCGACTTTCGATATTTTTCGAAAACCGTTGTAAAAACAACGATTTTCAATTATCCTAAGAGCTTATAGAAAGAAGTTGACAGTAAATTCGCAGTGTGGTAACTTGTGCCTCACTCGTTGCTTATAAATGAGGTTTGATAACTTAGCGTCCGCACATTATTATGCTGCAGCTGTTGTTGTTACTAACGATAAACTTACTTTATCGCGAGCAAGCATCGCCGTTAAAAAAGATGGAAGAAAGGAGATAATAGTGTTGGCTACTTGTCCTATATGCTGCAGTCGAGCTGCTAAAAATTCCCTGGGAGCCCTGTGAATTGCCAATATGGCCTGCAGATGCCCTCGCCCCGCAACGGTTTTATCCAGATGCAGTATCACTCGAAAATAAAACAGCGCTGATGAGAGTAATAATTGTAAGCTACAAGTTGGAGATTGAGCTCATGATTGTATTTAAGCGACTCGATAAACCTCCTTCGAGGAATCGAGGTAAGTACACATACTTGTATACCGTACGCTTTGAAGAATACAATGCATATACGGACGGATGCGGTACTTTTACTCGGCTAATAAGTTACACTCTGTGTACACAATTGAACTGCGTAGAAATGCTCTGTAGGAATAATAAAGCATTATTTTTTATTCCGTAGTATCTGAAAATATTTCTTTGGTGCTCACTTTTTTTCGTGCTAGCAGGAAATGCGTTGGCACAGACCTGCAAGGAACTGCGTGAGCGCTGCGATGCTTTGATGCTTTTCCCAATGCTGACTGGACGTTTATCAAAGATCAAGCAATCCGTAACTTAACCTGGCCGGCGACCAAAGAAGATTACATTACATTTCGAGCGCTGGCCGACAATTACTGCCGGTAGGAACTAGAATAGGCTATGGTATCAAATTTCCAAAAATACGTTCCACTAAAAATTAATTAACGAAATTCATCGTTACCGTCCTTGATCAGAGCACGACATGATGTTCCCTACAATACCGTGTTTTTGCGCTGTGTTCGTAGCATGAAAATGCATCCGCACTCTGCAAGAAGGATCTGATAGCCCGTTGCGCCGATGATCCGCATGTGGAGTCAAAGTGGTGGGCCTACTGCCCATCCTCGATTGAGTGGTCGCTATCCTGGGTCGCATTGTGCCAGTCCGACGTTAATCCGCTTTGGTATTACCGCGCCCACCGATACTGTGACGTACGCAGCCATGATGTGGATTTCAAGCTGCATTGAGTTGCAACGATGGCCTACCCAGAGCAACGTCACCATTAATAATGCTAAAAGTCTGGTCTGTCAGTAAGTGTCCCTTTATGTATCGCTATTTACCTTAGGTTAACATGGTTTTACGAGAAATTATGTGCATGTCTGCTTAATTGTGCAGACACTTGGACAACTGCGTAAAGCGATTGGAAGGTCACCTGTACGAGGCGCTATCCGACGATTGCGGATCGGAGGCAGTGGATGCTATGCGCGATGGTTGTCGGGCGCGGCACGCTGCTTTCTGTTCAACTTAAAAAATATGGCTTCTGCTGATACAATGTGTGTATAACACTGGAAAAAATTTCGCATAGATGGGTGCTGTAAATCGATGTCACTTCTCAAAACCGTACGCAGCGAAACTATGAAAAAAGAGCCAAAAATAAGAGAAACGGTTCGCAGTGTAATAAACAACATAATACTATATTAAACAACATATTAATAATACATATAGATATACGCCAAAATAAGTTAAATAACACATGTGCGCACAGAAGAATTTCTCAATACAACAGCATATTGCTTGACCTCAGACTAAATGCTCGTATTTATACGGAATCACACTTACATCGGCGTCACACAAACGGACAATAAAACCTATATTTGCGCGTTTAGGATTACTAACCCAAAGTATGCTCCAGCAAGTTCGTCGTGCCAGTACAGATCTCCAGTTTTAATGCATAAGTTCAGCGCCTTTTAAGGTGAGGTCTCGCCATTGGACGAATGTGCGGTTTTAAAACAGTGCTACGCTCCGCCACCGACGACCCCGATCCGACAATCCAAACCGTGATAAACTGCTACAATGAATCGGAGTTGGTGGGAATGTTATGGCATTAGCTCTAATAAGGAGCTCCTACCATAATATTAGCACCTTTCATCAATAGGATTTTTATCGCATTATACCTAATTTGGGCATAGTGTTTTTCCACTTCGTGAGGAAGTGTTTTAAAATAAATCCACATGTGCCCAAAGCGGCAGAATCTTTGGTTGATTCCTTTTTTTGCTTATATGCGTATCAAAAGCAGCGGATAAAATATTTTTAAAGCCTATTAAAATCGGGTAGATAAAAGATTTTTAGTTTTTTGTTATCTTACTACCTGCGGTCGAAAACTATCTTGGTTCCTCTCGGCGACCAAGCATAAACCGGTGGTAATAAAAAATAAAACCAGTTTCTTACAAAGTATGTTCTTATTACTATAGAATGAAACGTCAATTTGGGAGTGTAGACCCTGGGTATGTAGTAAAATCGCGGCAACCGCCGTCTGTGTATGTGGTACTTATGTTCTAACAGGAACTGAACTTCAATAACAGTTTTCCTGTTCATGGAAAAATTAATAGGATCGTCACAATTATTCTCAGCCTAAATGCAAGAGCTGCGCTTCGGTTTAACAATACACAATCCGATACATTTTCGTACTTTAATCTCCTTTAACTACAAACTTTGATTCTTCTGCAAACCGATATAAAAACCAGGGGAAATAGTAATATGTAAGTCTCCCAAAAACCGCTAGGATAACACACAGTCCCATTTTTCCGAATTTCAAAACGGTAGCACTGAAAGGATGAGACAGTAATGCGGATAAATTAATAATGAAGTCGCAGTGTAGTAATGCTTAGTGTTTGCTTAACCAGTTCGTATCTGGTATAGTGGCATTATTGGTATTGTAGGCTTTGTAGCATGCAAAATGAAACTGCACTGAGTGCACACTGCAAGAAGGATTTACTCGCCCACTGTCCCAATGATCCAGAATCCAGATATACTGGCGAACTACACGAGTTTCAGTCCATATACTTATTATAGTGGACACTGTCCATGTTCGCACCGAGACAGACCGGCGTTAACCGATGCGTTCCGTTAGTCCGCTAATTACTACCGCTGCTGCTAGGTAATGTTGCGTTAATCCGCGTTAAGCAACAGACCCGAGATGTGGAGTTTAAGTTGCACTGTGACTTTAAGCAATGAATTTCCCAGCGAAATGCGACCGCTGTGCGAATTAAGAGCGCGGTGTGCCAGTAAGTGTAAAAAAGCCCGGAGCATTTCTTTCCCGTAGTGTACAGTGACTACGGTTTAAGCAAAAAATCTCGTTATGTCTGCTTAATTGTCCTAGACGATTAAGTGAAGTGACCGCAAGGTAGGCTGTGTGTGACACTAGCCAGCGCATGTGGATCGGACGCCGTAAACGCTTTGCGCGACGGTTATCGGGCACAGTACACTGCTTTTTGTTAAACCTGGAAACGATCCTGCTAATTTCATGTGGGGCTTTCGATTCGTAACTACGTCGACATTATCAAATCTTTTCAGTGCAAATCGCCGTAGAAGTGCTTGTCAAAATAAGCTTTCTACGGTCAGGTTGAGCTTACTAATATGGCAGAAAATTTACTAATTAATGTGTCTTAAAACATCAAAACTAGTTTTGAAATGGATCTCTTTCAGTTCGAACTTCAAATATTTTTTGAAAGCCGATGTAAAACCAATGGGAGCAGTTAAACCTTCCTAGAGGCTCTGTGGTCAAATTTTCAACTTTTTTGAATTTTAAACTGTAACACTGCGTACCGCATACTCGACACTCGACAGTAATGCAAACAGTACATTTGCAGTGCGCCGCTATTTAATGCTTATAAGCAATTTTGATATTCTGCAGTTGAGGTTGCTACATGGATTTGTAAACTTTCCATATCTTGAGTAAGTATCACGATTAAAAAAGATGGAAAAATGAGATAATAGCACAGGCTAGCTTTTTTATGAACTGCAGTCGAGCTGATGGCAAACGCACGTTAGGCACCAGCAGGCAGCAACCTTGAGAAATTTACCATGGCCTGGAAGCCTGGACACGCATCGCTTTTCATTAAGATTATAATCACATGAAAATAGCATAGCACTGATCGTGAAGATAATCGCCGGCTACAAGTGAAAATTATGTGGCGGCTAAACGACTACATGAACGATTTATAAGTAACTATATACGGTAACTGAGACCTCTACTCGGCTTAAAAGTTTCAGTATGCTTAGTCAGTATACTCGTACTCTAGGCGTACACGATTGAGCAGTATATAAACACCTTGCACAAGTAATAAAACATTTTTATTCTGCGACACTAGAAAATGTTCTTTCAGTGCGCCATTTTGCTGGTGTTAACAGGGAATGCGTTGGCGCAGACGTGCGACGAACTGCGTGAGCGCTGTGATGCTTTGCCCAACGCTAACTGGACGTTTATTGATGACGAAGCACTTCGTAATTTACCATGGCCGGCGACCAAGGAAGAATACACTCCTTTCCGAGCGCTGGCCGATGAATACTGCCGGTAGGAACTAGGATAGGCTATGCCGCTATGGTATTAAAATTCCCAAAATGCCTTGCACTCACGGTTAATTAGCGAAATCCGTCGTAACTGTCCTCAGGCCCGTAGCGGGTTAAGGACAGTCTGTCCTTAACCAAAACAGTGAAAACATGGAACAAGATTAATATTTCGCTTTGTCTTGGTAGCAAGACAAATGCATCGGCACTCTGCAAGAAGGACCTGATAACCCGTTGCCCCGATGATCCACAGGTAAAGGGTCGGTGGTACCAGTCCTTCTGTCCATCCTCGATAGAGTGGTCACTATCCTGGGTGGCATTGTGCCAGTCCGACGTTAACCCGCTTTGGTATTACCGTGCTCACCGATACTGCGACATACGATCCCATTCTGTGGATTTCAAGCTGCACAAAGAGTTGGAACAGTGGCCTTACCAGAGCAACGTCACCATTAATAATGCTAAAAGTCTGATCTGTCAGTAAGTGTCGCTTTTTCGCCGTGAATCGTAGTTTCATTTTATCACGGTTTTAACGAGAAATTGTGTGCATGGCTGCTTCATTGTGTAGGCACTTGGACGATTGTGTGAACCGACTGGATGGTCCGCTATACGAATGGCTGTCCGTGGACTGCGGATCGGATGCGGTGGTAGACACTATGCGCGATGGGTGTCGGGCGCGGCACACTGCATTCTGTTCAACTTGAAAAATATAACCGTTGGTGATGCCGTGTGCTTTAAAAACTGGAGAAATTTTCGACATTAATGGGTACCGTAAATCGATGTCAGCACTCAAAACCGTAACGAAATTTGGAGAATAAAAGCGGAAAATAAGAAAAACGCTTCGCGGTATAGTGAATAACATATGCACGCCCAAAAAAGACTCATGTGCGCTGCATAAAAATGTCAATACAATAGCATATTGCAGGACCGCAAAGTAGGTAAATAGTAAATACTCGTTGAATCCCACCTGCAGCGGCGTCATACAGATGATTAACAAAGCGTATAATCGCGCGTTTACGATTGCTACTCCAGGCTTACAGCTGATGTGGACGTCACTCTCACTGAACTGGTTTATTCATCCCGTTTTTCGCAACGTAATCAACGGTGTTGAGCAGCGCGCAAACAAGAAAACGAAATCCGTTGCAAATGCTAAGACCAACGCGTGCGAGTATTAAGTAAGCACTAATATGCTTCTGTACCAGGTTCTCATTTTCGCTTTACTGATAATCATATTGTGCATTGGTATTGAACTTAGCATTGTTAATTTTTATAAGCGGCTGTCAATAGCGGAGGCAAGCACTCTCTGTTCTTGCTGCCGTCACCCGTCTGAAGTGTGACGTGTGACATATGGTTACACCAAGCACGGTACAAAAGCAACACGTACAGCCACAACGTCTCACTCACGGTAGCAAGCACAGGGATTGGTTTAGATGCGATACTGACATCCTCGTACAGGTAACATAGCACTTTACGTAAAAAACATATATATACTTTTGTTTCCCGACATTCTGCGGTCGAGCTGCGAGGGATCCCCTTGGAACCCTGTGTAATTAAAACTGGCCGCCAACCATGAGTACGCCCCGGTTTGCATCGAGATTTAATGTCGATAAAAATCAGACAGCATATGGTCGTGATGATAAATGCAGGCTGCAGCTGAAAATTGTGCTCGCAGTAGTACTATACTTAAGCGGCTGCACAATCATGTGTAGAAATAATTAGCCGGATACGGTACACGGCTGACAAGTTTCGCTACAAGTATAATTATTATCCGTGCATATTTGAGCTGTACATACATAGTATTAGCAACTGTAGATACTATAATATACGAGTTATAGAGTTCTGTAATTTTGCAGCAGTCACAGAATGTACAACTGGTGTGCAGTTTTGTTCGTGTTAACAGGAAATGCGTTGGCGCAAACATGCCAGGAACTGCGTGAGCGGTGTGATGCCTTGGCTGACGCTATGTGGAGCTCCCAGAATGATCATTAGCTCAGTAATTTACCCTGGCCAACGACCAACGAAGATTACGCTCCATATCGAGTGTTAGCCGACAAAAACTTCCGGTACGAATTACGACAGGTTATATCGTATCAGAAATTCCGCAATTATTTAAAACTAAAAAATTAATTGTCAAAATCGATCGCACAGGTCACCTTTTATAAAGCAGAGCACAACATTTGTTAGTATGTATGTACCGCGTTTTTTGCGCTATTTTCGTAGCATGAATAATGCAACGGCACTCTGCAAAAAAGACTTGATAGCCCCTTGCCCCGACGATCCACACATACTGGCGTTCTACGATATGTACAGCCCATCCTCAATTGAGTGGTCTTTATCCTGGGTGGCATTATGCCAGGACGGCATCAACCCGCTTCGATATTACCGCGCCGAACGCTACTCTGGCCAGCTCTCCAGCGATGTAGAGTTCAAGTTGCACTATGAGCTGGAACTAATTCTTGGCCAGCGAAATGTCACCAATGCAAAAAGTGGAATCTGTCAGTAAGTGTCTCCTTTCCTGGCATGTTGGTTGATACAGTTTTAGCGAGAAATTTTGGTGAATGTCTGCTTAATTGTGTACTCATCTGGACGATGGCGTGAAACGTTTGGAAGGTCCACTGAACGCGACGTTGTCCAGTGTATGCAGATCGGACACGGTGCACACTGCACACTATGCGCGATGGGTATCGGATGCGGCACGCTGCTTTTTGTTCTACTTAAAAAATGCTTTTTAAGGAGATGGTGTGAGAAGTTTCGCCGTTAATGGCCACCGAAAATTTTTCTTGCTCAAAAGAATAAAGAAACTGCGAGAATAAAGCAGCAAATGAGAAAGTGTTTCTCGGTATAATGAATTAACAAGACAGAAAAGAGCACATGTGGCATTCAGAAAGCGTTTCCAAACCTTCCTTTATCATATGATCCATCTCCAGTACCACCTGTTGGATTAACAGATATTGCAAATACTATACTTTTGCATAATGTCAAAACTCAAAACTGTACAATTTATTTAACGAACCACAGTTATCAGTATAATCTTTAATAGAATAGTCTTGATAGTATAACAGGTGGAAACGGTTTCAGGATATCTACTGCTGCTTAAACTTAATAAACTGTCCAGTGACAACTTTGTCGAAAATGACCACGCAAAGATGAATGTCCTAGGCCCACTGCATCTGCTCCCTGGGCCATCGCGAAAAACTGCGAAGAGTCCGCTTGTCGTGCGATGCCTACATAATACGTGTATATCTTATGTGTGTACGTGTATATCTTATCTTGATACGTGTATATCTTTTGGCTGTTTTTTTTATCATTTTACCAACTCCGCTCGGCACATGAGGTAATGCATTAAGCTGAACTGAAAGCACCTGGTACTTTTTCTGCAGATTTTGAACACAGTAAAACTGTATGTGAATAAGATGTGTGGCAGAACGAGGTCTGATAAAATTTTTTCATCGTGATGACAGCCGGTTTTCGTTATTTAAGCCGATAAACTTTAAATAACCTGTTCGTTATTTAGTCAGGCATACTTAGTACTTACTCATAGTGATTAAAGAAGATAACAAGATGCGATTGGGTGAAAATAGTTTCTGTACATCATGTACACTGTAGTGAGCTATAGCAAATTCACATGGATTGTTTTTGACCAGCGTTAGTTTGGTTCTCTGTTCGGTACTTCGGTTAGCAAATGGAGCGCATTGCCTTTTAATCAAGATGGCAAAACTGATAGGTGAGATAGCGTAGATCTTGAGCCTTCTCGCAGCTGTAGCTCGTGCTCGTATATAAACGCCTGTGCATACCTGTTGCGGATATAGTAAGATTCACAGTCTCCACTAAATTACCAATCGAACTGTACACGCGCGTACAGTACTTAATTGCTTTTCCGCAACAGCAGAAAAATGTTGGCCAGTTGCACAAAATTGTTCGCGTTGGCAGCAGCTGTTTTGGCGAAGACATGCGAGGAACAACGGGAAGCGTGCGACGTTTTAAGGAACAACATGTATTCATCACAGAATGAACATGAATTAGACAATTTGCCCTGGCCAGCGACAAACGAGGATTACGCTCCATATAGAGCGCTCGCTGAAAAACACTGCCGGTATGTTATCGGCATTCCAAAAATTTATTCATGCATTAAAAGTTATCCTTTCTATGTACATACAGCAACCGAACTCCGATCAAGGAGATATTTTACCTGACTAATGTAAAGCTTTCACTTAATTTTGAAAATGTTTGGTATTGGTTTTGATTTAATAACTGTAATAATCTCTTATAACTGTCATAAATCAGAGCCCGAACTATGTTTTTCATAATCCTTTTTCGGGCACCGCATTCGTAGCATGCAAAACGAAACAGCACACTGCAAGAAGGCCCTGATGGCCCGTTGCTCCGACGATCCCTATATTTCGGCGCGCTACTTCTACTACAGTCCTTACTCGGCAGGATGGGGCCTGTCAAGGGCTGCACTCTGCCAGTATGACATTAATCCGCTGCGGTATACCCGCGCTGAACGCTACTGTGACCGACTAACACGCGATGTAGAGTTCCAGTTGCACCATGGGTCGGAGGAGGCGGCGTCCCAGCGCAATGTCACCGATGTGAAGAGTGCGGTCTGCGAGTAAGTGTTGCCGACCTAAGCGTTTTTCTTTTGCAGTCTACTATTTGCGTATTTATAAACCAAGTATTTGTACGTATACTTACTACGTACTTATTAATTGTGTAGAGGCCTGCGCACGTACGTGGAGCGACTGGAAGGTCCGCTCAACGCGACGCTGTCCAGCGTTTGCGGGTCGGACGCGGTGGAAGCTATGCGCGATGGCTACCGAGCACAACATGCCGCTTTCTGTATTTCCTAAAATGACCTTGCAAATGCCGAGTAGATTTTTGATTTTAAAACAATGCCGACGTTAACAACACCATTATTAGTCCAAAGGACATACGAATAGTTTATTGTCGTAAAAGAGAATGTGAGAATAAACGCCGCCATATTTGTGCAGATCAAACCGATCCTCGAAATAGGCGAAATCCTCGTTCAGATACCATTTTTTGGCGTCTGTCGTACGTATGGTGCACGGACATTTCTCACATTTTTCGAGGCGTGTTTAAAAACATTTTTTTCCGAACCTGCCGTTATCATTAGAGTATCTTCCTACTGGCAAATCCAAATTGGTTGATTTTGACTCATAGTTCAGTAAAATGTAACAGCTCTTAAATGCAGCATAAATCGCTGGCGTACTTTCTGATCAGTTTTTTAAAGCGTTCATATTAAAACTGCATGCAAGCAGAAGCGTCTGTAAAATTTTTTTAAAAACGCAGGAGCGTCTGTAGATTTTTTCCAGTACGATGTTCCGTCACATACGTGAAAAAATGCATGTCCTTTTGCTATAGGTGACACGGTCACCAGGCAGCGTTACATAAAATTATAATGCTTTTATACATTTTTATTCGAGAATTTGTCGATTGCGAATTTCAGCAAAACAGATGCATATATGATACGTTTATTGTAAATATAAGCAAATATAATTTTTTTCCGTGTGAAGCTATTTTACAATTGTGTCAGCCGTGTGAAGTTTCGTACAATGTGAGAGATTAACCGCGGTTGAAGAAAGTAGTGAATTTCTCTCCTTTAGTGCCCTTTAATGGACACTGTATCCATCACTGAAACATTAATACAGAGTAGTACTATTCTAGTATCAGGCATTATTGCCTGTTGAATACCAGTAACAACTTTCACACAAGGTTAAGCACGCGTCCACCGATAAGATCTCGCCATTTAGCGTTATCATGGAAGCGCATCTTTCTGCCATCATCATTGCAATCATTGTAGCGCGAAGACAACTAGTCCCGAATTCGATTACATTAAAATACAAAATCATAGTGTTGCCGCTCACTTGCTAGCCGGTGATTGCGGGTTATTTTTGTCAGTAACCCACAGAGCGTTTAAGCATCAGCGTTAAAAGTGCTTTAAGATTTTTAAATAACTGAATAAGAAGCGCGGAATAGTAAGCACTGAATAAGTACTAAATAAGAAGCATTGTTGCACCGCATATCGAAACCAGCAAAATGATCTGTTGGTGCGCAATGGTGATCGTCTTGGCAGCGACTGCCTTGGCGGAAACATGTACCGAGTTGCGCGAATCGTGTAATACCCAGAGCGACTACAAGTGGAGTTCTCAGAGTCAGGATGATCTACGCAACCTTCCCTGGCCAGCCACCAACGAAGACTACGCGCCATATCGAGTGTTGGCCGACGAATTTTGCCGGTAGGCTATGTAATCGATATTTCGAAAATTACTTAAATTAATATGACAAAATTTTCTTACTTACTTAAATACATATTACAAAAAGTTCAGCTGTTGTAAATTAGTAAAAAATGTAGGATTAAAAAACGTGGAAACTGATCAGGGAGTCCGAGGCTCATATTACAATAACGAATAAATTGCTAGTAGCAATTTATTCTACCACTGAATTCGCACAAAGAAGCGCGTCTTTCAGCACTGTGGGGTAAATTGTTCGTTATTTTTCATTTTACACCGAACTACGCTTTTGTTTGCAACTTAATGAAAATGAAAACTCTGAACCAGTCCGGTGCGCAGTTTATTGATTACTTATAATAATGTGACCGAACTGCATATTATAGAAAAGCCGATTTATGGTATGTATTTTCGATTTATAGTAAGCAGAATGCAACTGCACACTGTAAGAAGGACCTGATTGCCCGTTGCCCCGATGATCCTTACTTGCTGGCTCGTGCCCTATCTTATGGTCCCTACTCAATAGAGTGGTCTCTGTCCATGCTCGCGCTGTGCCAGTCCGACATCAACCCGCTGCGGTACTTGCGCGCCGAGCGACACTGTCGCCAACTGACCCGCGAGGTGGAATTTCAGTTGCACGGGACTCTGAACAGGAGGCTAACCAGCGCAATGTCACCGAGGTCAAGAGTTGGGTCTGTCGGTAAGGGTCACAAGCCAGTGTCATACGGTATTACTCCAACAATTTCTGTTCAAATCTGTTTAATAAACTGTGTAGACAGCTGCGCGATTACGTGGAGCGATTGGAAGGTCCGCTCAATGTGACTCTGTCCAGTATCTGCGGATCGGACGCAGTGAAGGTCATGCGCGACGGTTATCAAGCGCGGCATGCCGCTTTCTGCTCAGTCTGAGAATGACCTTACTAATGTAGTGCGGGCTTTGAATTGTATATACACCTGTGGCACGTTTCGTACCAAAGAAAAAAGTGAATCCGTTTTTCTCTTCTTGTAGTCACAGCAGACATCTGTATACAGGCTGTAGACACCCTGTAGTCCTATCGGTAGCCACCTGGTTTCTTAAGATGTATACAGGTTGTTTACAGGGTGTCTACAGGTCGTCTACGGATGTCTACCGCTGTATACAGGCAGCCCTTCTTAGGTCAGCTCGATGTTCTGCGTGTATACAGCGGTAGTCGTTAATAGACAGCCCGTGGACACCACTGTAGACATACTGTAGCCACCTAGTTTCTTAGGTTTCTTGGGTTTTCTTAGGATGTATCCAGGGTGTCTACATGCTGTCTACGGATGTCTACCGCTGTCTACAGGCAGCGCTTTTTAGTTCAGCCGGATGCTCTGCCTGTAAACGCCGGTAGTCATCTGTAGACAGCCCGTAGACACAACTGTAAGCATACTGTAGTCACCTGGTTTCTTAGGCTTTTTTGGATGTATACAGGGTGTCTCAGGTTGTCTACATGGTGTCTACAGGTTGTCCACAGATGACTACAGTGACTACAAGACGGAAAAAAACGTTCCGGTTTTTTTCTTTGGTACGAAACGTTCCATATATATCGTGTAATGCTAACAACGGATTATTTGCGAATTTTTCTTTGCAACCGTCACCTCAACAACATTATCTTCGATTGACCTCCGTTAACTGACCACTAACCGCACCGCCTTCAATAAAGCGTACACTTTCAAGTCTTTAAGACAGCTTCTCCCAAAAATTCTTGCGGCCCATCATAACCTCTGCAAGTAAAAGTCTCAAGTAACCGCACCAGATTCACTGCTTCTGCTTAGGCTGAGGCTTTGCCGCGGGTCGATTGCCCGGTTTCTTCGGTTTCCCTTTCCGCACTTTAAACCAGTACCATGCTCCCCCGCCAACGGCGCCGAGCAGAACAACCTAAATGATGTCAGACTCCTTATAGCAAGTAAATCGCATTGGATGGGAATTTCGGGATTATAGATACTGGCTGGAACTTCGGCTTTTCTTTAACTTACCACTCCAACAACTACTCCCACAATCAATCCTGTATTTGAGCCCCCGCTTACTGTAACATAAAGTAGTAGTTCAAAGCTTGTCACGTCACGAGATGGGTGTGCTAGATTACCTGCAGAAATCGGCGTCTCGGTTACCACGGACACTGTAGTGGTGATGGCGGTGGTGGTGGCAAGCGGTACTGGCAGCGGCTCGTTTGGTAATAACCCGCTAGGTAGCGGCTCGTTGATGCGGCTGGAAGCGTTAGCGCCCAGTTGGTAGGCTACGAGAATATCATCTGGCGAGTAGGAGTCCTTCAAAGAAATTAACGTCATTCTAGTGAGTACTGTCATATATAACCGAAAAATAAAACTTTAAAACTTAAAAAAATTTGAAATCGGTCCGGGGTTAAAATAATAATAATAATAAAATTGGCAAACCACGTGCAAAAGGGGATCACTCTGCGCGCGCAAAAATCTCCAGCACGGAGTTCGAGCCGAGAGCGCGCGTATGCTTAATAATATGCGTTAAAACAAATGTATTGATTGCATCCGAACCTTTTGTATTATCACCGGCTGCACCATGATTTCATCCCATGTTTTCTGGTTACACCCCATGTTCTTATTCTCAAAAGGTTGGGCGCACAGACACTTGCGTGCCAAAAACTTCCCCGGCGGCCCCTTGACGACGTCTTTACCATTAAGGAGAACGCAGACCATGGTGTTGTTGTCGCCTTTGGATAGTGTATTAAACAGTTGCCAGTCATCTGCCGCCGCGACGGATTTCGGAGCGTGACAGCTGCGCTGTGTCATTCCCCGCTCTACGGAAATGGTTGTCATTCATGGGTCAGTTAGACAGCGCAAAACACCTGAATACCAAAGTAGAATAAATTGTTGGGGTCCGGATTATATAAAGTCGTTATTACATGACAGGTGTCGGTGCCGTTACAGGTTACATTGATGTTTCCCGTGTCCGAACAGTTCTTGAACTGCTCAGGCGGGGTTATACAGATATTGCACCGTATGGTCGCGTTAATGCCTGAAGAACACAGAAAAGCAGGTTAATTAAATTATAATCATATACAGATACAAGTATCGGTCGCGCTAGCGCGCGACCAGTTCTGTTCGAGGTATGGAAGAATGAAAAAAATACAAAATATATATACTTCGTACAGCAATAAAATTGATTTTGAGAAATATTTCAAATATGAAACCCCAGCGAGGCCAGCTCCGAAAATATTTTAACATGTAGAAATACGGACAGTTTTCAAGCTTTCCGGTTAAATTCGACCAGTATTATAAAAACTGTGAAAGCCTCTGCAATTTTTCTTTTTGTTTGCATTTTTCACGGTTTTTGGTCACGTTTTTAATGTAACTTTAAATTGCCGATCTACGAACTGAAAACTTGAATTTTTTTGTACGACCGATAATATTTAAACGGTGATTAAACGAATGGAATGGGATCATTTACACAATGCCCACAAAAACCATTCAGCCGACATTTTAGCGAGAATTAATGGAAACTTGTGAGAAACAATTAACGGTTGCCCAAAGTGACCTGGCAGGCTGCATCTTTAGGAATTTTCAGCCATTCAGTCAAGCTCTTCAGTATTTATAAAAATAAAATAAATACATATTTATCAGATTTTGAGGTTAGTGAATACCCAAGCTATCACCAGCATCACAGAGCCGCTATTTGAATGAATACGGTAAACGGGCTGCGGGCTGGCTTTTAGATATTTTGAAATTACATATAAATTAGACAATTTAGACCGTGAGATATTGAGGTACTCAGATTTCTAGATATTTTTAAATTTCGAAACTTTGGAGGCTCAAAAAATTAGAGGTAACGGCCCCGCTGCGCGGGGCCGAGTCGAAATATTTAGAAATTCTTGAAATGTAAAAGCTTTGGAGCCGACTTTCGAAAAATTTATAGTTATTTTGAGGTATTCAAACAGATTTAAAAACATCTTAAAGGTTTCAAAAATTAACAAAAAATTATAAGTTTGATGGGATTAACAATTTTAAATTACTATAGTTTAGGTTGCTAAGTTGCGAAACTTGTATTTGCTCATTCGAGACGTTTCTAGAATTTACTGGAAATTTCTATGAACTTTAAACGCTAAGTACTGAAAGTTTGAAAGGGTTTTTGAAAACGTTCCGGAAACCAAAATTTTTTTCCAAGCGGCAGGTAGGAAGCTTCAGAAGATGCTGGATTTTATAAAATAACCAAAAGCTTCACAAGTGGAATCTCGAATTAGGAGATAATTTCCAAAACTAACAACCTTTAAGTACTAACAACCTTTAAGTACTACAGCTTCTAAAAATTTTTTTAAACCTTCTCCAAAACTTAAGATTTTTTTAAAGATAAAGGTAGGAACGTTTGCGCGATGCTCTATTTTATAAAATTATTAACTTATTGAAAAAATCAATTTTGATTTAGGAGATAATTTCCAAAAAGTAAGGACGTAAGGATATATGAATCTATTGATAATCGCTTGCGAGGGAAAAAGGTTGCAACAGTTATTTGCCAATTCTTCGCCGCAACAGAAATCCGTGGTACAAAATTAAGAAAATGTAAATTCTTTTCTGGTAATTATAAAACATTGCGAAATAATAATTATCAGTAAGCCCAGAATGGGTACAAGCATTTGCATGTGTAAATCAGTGCGACTTTGAAACATTTGCTGTACTCATGGACTTCAATCATTATAGTACCATGCGAACTAAAACAGTGTTATGATACCATACGGCCACGTAAAAATTGGAAGGTTTTAACAGCACCAAGCTTCGGAAAATGCACCCTAATATGCACCCTAATATTCACTAACCTGGAAGGGCCATATATAAGCACACACAGGCCAAAAATATTCCTACAGCTATTGGCGCTTTCATAGCATCAGTTTCAGGGGAATGCTCAATAAACGGGCGTACCCCAGCAGCACAGCATTATTGCAACAAGCAGTTCCTTCTGCAGTTTTTAATCCCACAGCAGCACGATGGCTTTCATAACGTATTGCTACTCAGTAAGCAGTAATTTTTGCCAGAGTTTTGTAGGCAGTAAAGGTGGATGAAAGTACGATTCGCATGAAGTTCTCGTCCTGAACGCAGCAGGAGTAACACAAACGTCGCATTATTGGCCCTTCTTTAAATACAACATTTCTTTCTGAAATATAGCTAAACACCTGCAATTAATTTTTTATATTGGACGGACAGAACAGCAACTTCAAAAGCAGCTCTTCAGAAACTGAACACAGGGAAAAGTTTCTACGGAAATATTATATTAGTAATACTGTAACTGTACTCGTACTGTTTTAATATTATGAGGTCTCGGCTGAGATTTACATTACTGTATTCTTTATTGTACGTTGTTAATGCAGTACTACAGGCAGCTGTGAAAAAAACTGCTGTTTAACCACTTACTGCATTATAAAATGGTAGTACTATACCTTGTCACATAGTTGTTGTTGCAAACTTGCACTCTACTTCATGCAACTCGTGGCTCAGGCTCGTTTCAAGTTTCAGCGCTATGCAACAAAGTACTTGGCTTACCATTACAAAACAGCGTAGGCTCAAAGTACAGCACAAGTTTAAGTTTGTGTAGAACGTTATTTTAGGCTAAACTTTAACAGAAGCGCCTTGCACAACGATTTACCAGTATCCAAGTTGGTATCGCAGATTATGACCCTAAAAAAAGTGGAAATCGGTCAGCCGAACTGTCAAAGCGCGGCGCGGCTGCCTTCTGTAGTCGTACATTCTATCTGTACAGAGTGCTAAAGATATATTCAGTAATAATAGCTACAGTTAATAATCAGTTCGCAAAAATTCCCGGCACTGAGTTCGAACTTCGAAGCGCTTGCAGGAGGATTACGCGTTATATCGAAGCACCTGCTGTTTTTTACTCGTATAGACAACAACGTTACCGGTGCCAGCGACAGGTTTTTGTAAGATCGTCGCAGTGCACTTACAGTATATCGGCTCCTCGGGCTGATGATTGGTGCCGCAAGTACCTCACGACACGCGGCTGTCTCTTACACCCGGCGTCGCACAGATGTGCACGACACCAGTCCGTAAAAGCCAACACCCAACGCCAAAACTGAACTATGTTACCACGGTATTACGAGTGTTGGCAGACGACGGTAACACGATGAAAATACGACCATGGTTTGCCTCGCTGTACTGACACTCGGGGACTCTTCGTAAACACCATAGTAATATGGTTATAATGAACCGTAGTAAGACCGTCGTAATTAAGAATGGTAGCGTAGCGCACTGCGATACGCAACTACCGTAGAAATACGGTAGAGAAGCAGACATTTTCTACGGTGGGAATACAGTCGTGCGTATTTGGTATACCTATTTTATATTTCGACCGGAAAAACCGTTGTAACATAGTAGTATTCCACCGGAACTTGTAAAATTGTTAGCCTCTTCAAGAAAATTATTATTGAATCAACACTGATATGGATACAAATAATATAATATTCCATACATCAGCGCTCGGCTCAGTTCTCTAAACAATAAGCCAGAAAAACATGAAGATGAGCTCTGGGTAGCAAATACTAAAAACAGGAATACTGTTATATGGACTGCTTAAACTAGTTCATGCAGTGCTCCGAATCAGTGGAATACTTTCCGACGGAAATGACGCTTCTTCTTCCGAGTTTTTATATCGCGCATTTCTGCAAAATAAAAAAATAACCATGAATTAATTGAACATTAGATTTATATATAGACAATAGTGTCCAAAAATGCAATGAACAAATTAAATAAATAATAGCGGAAACGTTAACGTAGTGACGGCGGTAACGTGAGGGTTTCTTCTCATTAAAATTATGTAATACGAGTATTGCAGAAACAAGTTATTTTGCATGTTGTTCTAGAAAAAAACTAGCGCGCGTACATTTTTTGTGCAGAGGTTGAACTACTACATCTTACTGGTTAACCTTTGCCTATTGACAGCAGTGCGTATTTTGCAGTTTTTAGACTCCCCCGTCCTCGATTAAGATGTATAATTTTGAACCTTTACCATATTTGAGTGTAAAAACAAAGAAATTTGAACTTAGATGGATGGAATCATGGAAAATTCAGTTACTGGTACATAGCAAGCAAGGGCATATAGGCCATTACCATATGCAGTGGGTGAACGTGGCTACCGCCACGCGATGGCGATGTATGGTGGCACCGCCAGTTCCTAATTGCTGGGATGCATTCAGGATATCTGCAACAACAGTGGTTTTGGACAGAACGACTAAGGCCCTAGAATACCGGCCATAACAATCCATAGCCTCGATAAAAAATATTGCACCCAACCGAGTGTTATACGCACCCCTTAATACACAAACAGATACGAGTATTAAAGAAACTGATGACGTTCTTCACTTGGTGTAACATAATAAGAAATCGCCGTCACTCTAATATGTTTATTCGTAGCCATAAAAAATTATAAAAGTGAATCTTACTTGACTTAATCTCCACTGTTAGAAGTTTGTGGCCGCGTTAACGTTTCCAGTTTCTCTAAAAATAGAAAGCAATTCAAAGCCTTGCAGCCTTTACTCAGGGACCGCGGTCCATGCAGTTGCTAGAAACTTCTGCATTTTTAAATCTTGCAATAACGCGGTAAACATTCTTTCTCACTGACTCAAAATATTGAAGAAATGCATATTATATTCTGTTGCATTTTAAAGTTTCAGGAAAGCTTTGGTTTACAATATAATGTCTGAGCTACCATTAAAACCTTCGAAAACGTACTTTAAAATTTTACACTTACAGTTTTTACCTCCGCCGCAGTCCGTAGGAACATTTTTGACCGCCAGTTGTTCAGTTAGGTCACGCTGCATGGGTTTTTCGAAGCATAATGTGCTAAACCTTTTTTCATGCAATGGTGGAAATAGAATAGTTACAGTTGTAAAAGAATTTAAAATATTTTGTTTCTGAAAAAAGTGGCATAGATTTGCACTTCGGCCCGTACAGCTCCACTGATTTTGCATTTGTTAACTCTGATCCGGTAACGTGACCTAGAGAAGAAAGCGGTGCGTCTACCGCCTCACAGTGATAACTACGTCTTTACCGCCAACAAAATTGCACAGGTAACTACCGGCTAGGCAAAGCCAAGGTGCCCACCCTATCGTCCAGCGACGGTCGTTTTACCCCCGGTTAACACTACGGTTGCTGACTCAGATGGGCTACTAGTGTCGTAACCACTCGTAATTCGCTACGGTTGTTAATACCGATGAATGGCCTAACGATCGTTCTACCCTCGGAAATTTCCTATGGGTCGGTTTACGGTTGTATTCCGACCACAGTCGTAGAGACAAGTGTGAAACTACTATTGAAATACCGTGGAATACCGTGTTACGATGGTCATCACCATCGTTTTTAAAATTCGGATTTGGCGTTGGGCAGTCGGCTCCCACATCGCACATGATGCCGGTTCCTAGTTCGAGTCTCAGCGCGTATTTGATACTGTTCGCTGCCCTTAACCGTAATCGTAATGAGCTACATTTGATACGTATTAACACGGAAATATCTAATTTAACAATATGCCGCGGTGATTTCTCTTTGAACTGGCATATAATTATTTTCATACTACTTTTAGCGAGTTTAGCATTATTATGGCATAAATCGAACAAAGGGTACCAGTTGTTAGTAACCGGGCGGATTAAACGCAGCAAGCATAATGTTTTACACCTGCTAAATACTTCTGAGCATTCTTTGCCAGATAATCATCGCCCAAGCCGGCATTTGATAGAATCTACACCAGTCTAAACGACTAAAATAATGGCTTTCGTACACGTGCACGTTATTCCTGTGGTCTGGAAACTACCGGAAATGAATCGGCTCAGTACGGTAAATACTGTGCAACGCTCAGTTTTTAAATACATAAGGCTACGGCTATTTTGCTGCAGTAGAACAATAGGGGTCTGAATAGCCCTCAGGCTATTTTGCCGCACACTGCGCCGGAATAGCCAGTTGGCTATTTTGCCGCACTATGGCGGGCGAAATAGCTTGTTGGCTATTTTACCGCACACTGCGTTAAAACAGCTCCTTAGCTATTTTGCCGCACTATGGACGGGAATTGAATAATTTTAAGGTCGATACTGCGTGCACGGGTGACTGCACGGGCGTTGGCTGTGTGCACGGAGTTCGGGAACGGGTGTTAGTTGCGTGCACGTTGAGTTTGCAACGGATCCAACTCAAAAATGGCCGTTCCAGGCTCCACCTCGAAAACGAACGCGGTAGCCATGGCTATCGCATTCCACTTCCCTTTGTTTTCGGCATCTCTCACTTCGATTTTATGCCCTTCATCCAGTTTATAATCTTCTTCCAATTTAAAATATAATAGTTCTGAAACAAAAGAAATCACCCGTGCCCGAAGCCAACGCCAGTTCCCAAACTCCGTGCACGCAGTTAACACCCGTGTTTATCCGTGCCCGCAGCCATACTGTAATTATAATAAGGGACACTCGGCAATATGGGTCAACTCTGCCAACACATCCCCTTAAACTGCCCGCGCTAGTTATCGGTTCCCTCGACATCAGACGGTAACAACTAGTGCGGGCATTTTTTTGGATTAGCTGTCTCTAAACAAAAGTGTAACGAGCTTGCGAGTTACGCTACGAGTTTTGATATTCATGCAGGTAAAAGTATTTGAGTTATACCGCAAGCTACGGGCATAGACGAGACAAGAGCCATTGTCGCTTTTGCCTCAGGTGCATCTACGATCAAAAGTTGATTCCTTTAGACTGGAAAGTAATATCGGTGTTATTTGAAATTTAGGCGAAGGTAAAAAATGTTTTTTATATGTCCGAAAGTTTCTTAAAATAATTTTGTCCGCCATAACGAACTAATACCAGACAGATATTGGTAATTGATTGTGACATTTGCATAGTGTGAGTCTGTAACCGTCCAAAACGACCGGTCGTCTCAGACGACCGCCGGTAGTTCTGGACGGTTACACACGTCTGTAGCCAGCTGACACTTTAGTCGGACCGTACTTAACAAAACGGGCGAAACACCCGCACGGACAGCAGGCTGAAGAAGGGCGAGCATCACACACGCCCGCTCGGCAACCCGGCATTCCGGTGGACACTGCCGATCAAGCCGAGCCTGTGAACGCACAATCCGGAGAACGAATAGCGGAAACCGCAGTGGGTGGATCGTAAACCGGCACGGGAGCCAGATAACCCGGCCCGGATGGAGCGGACCAGTTACACCAACGGCCACTTGGCAGAGTTCAACCGAGAGCTGAGTCGACCGCTTGACGGGCGAGTCGACCATACCGCCGCCGGTCGACACTGTTCGAGCCGGAATTGTTTTCTAGTAGACGGTAGCCCGGAATCGACATCGAAGGCGGACACAAC